TGAATGAAACTTGGCATGTTAGTTATTTATTTTGTAAATGTTAATAAAATCAAAATTTTAGATTGCTAGCTCAACCAGATCCAAAGATATACGCCTTCAAAGAGAAATTTCTTATTTATTATTAATGTTTTCACTTTTTATTAAATATCTCACTTGAGTAGAGGATATACTTCAAACATATATCCTACTTTTATGGGAACGATGGGAAATAAATTTATCAAAGCTATCAAGATTAGCATAAAAATATTGGAGATTCTAGCAAACAGTGCTTCTTCTTAACGTGAAAGCATTACTGGAACGTTTTTAGTATCAATAAATATTAATTTTATAATATTACATAAATATTTTATTAGATCAAATAAATTCCTTGTCCGCAATTTAAATTGAATAATTATTATGTTTAATAAAGTAATTTCCTAAACTATAAACTTTTTTGAAGGGATGTAGCGCTAAACTAAATCATTTTTTATTAGACGCTTCAAATTGAAAGAATGAGAGTATTTAAATTTTATATGGGCAGCGTGGGTTAAAATTTTTTTTATAAAAATGGGTGAGCGGGTAAAATTTTTTAGAATAATGTGAGGGCAGGCGAGTAAAGAATTTTAGACTAAAGGGCGGGCGGGTATATATTTTTAAAAACTATGGGTGGACGGGTAGGTTAAATTTTCTAAAAAATATTTGCAGCCCTCTAATACAAACATACTTCAAAAACAGCCATTTATGTGATGATAATACTGCAGCAACCGAAACGACATTCATCTATTACATGATAAAACATTCACTTATTTATCTATCTATATATTGCATGATTTGAAGGAAAATCATCCAATTTCTTTATTAATGAATGCATCAAATGGAAATACTAAAACATTCCAAATAAAACTGTGCTATTTTAATAAAAACGCGTTTCAAGTAAACTTCTAAAAAAAATTTCATCCAACTTGGAGAAATAGAAGGATATTGCATATGTTTGTGCAGAGCCTTGAAAATTCTAACCTTTAACTATCAAATGTAACAGTTTTTTGTGCCGATAACGTAAGTGTGAATTTTGAAAAAAAGGCAAAGTGTAATTGCTAAATTATTAGTTTTAATAAATACATTATCCCCATTGGTTGCTTGTGAAATAACACAATACAGGAAGAAAGGTTTCATTATCAGCTAGAAATAATTACTACAAAATGTTATGCCGAATTTAAAAGATCCTCAAACAGGGTGTCTGTTTAAAAAAATATTATGGACTCTCAAGATATCTAATGGTCCAAACTTCTACGAATTGCTCAAACAAAATGGCTATCATTAATAGCGGCTCTCTAAAGACTATAAAAATAATTAAGGTATTATATCTTATTATCTCAAAAAAATTTATTTTCAAATTATTTTTTGAAAATATATTGGCCAAGGCTTATTTAATATAGGGACGACCTTAAACACTGGTTAAAAATTGCAATCCGAAACAATTGCAGTGGAGACTTTTTCAAAATAAATTAGTTAAAACTTTATAAGCCCAAGTAGCTTTTATGTTGATTGTTAAACAAATTCTTATAAATGTGTTGATCATGATAAAATAACATCATTTCAGAATGAAACTAATAAATTCGGTTCCATGTCAATTCAGCGAAACTTTTATCGCGAATGAATTTTATAGAGAAACTTCTACTGCGAATCCACATTAGTGATTACTTTTCTGCGAAGACAATATCGTGAATTCTTTATAGCGAAACTCTTATCGCGAAACCTTTAAAGCGAATACATCACGGCAAAACTTTTATCGCGAAACCTTTAAAGCGAATACATCACGGCAAAACTTTTATCGCGAATCAATAATCGCGAAAATTTTATAGCGAAGTCATTATCGCGAAACCCAAATCGCGAAGACTATATAGGGAAAACCATTTCGCAAAATATTGCGAAGATATTATAGCGAATTTAATATCAAGAGGTCAATATCGCGATAATTGTTTAGTATTGCTAATTAGACGAGGAAATCGACTAAATTAGTCGATGGCTAAAGTTGATCCATTTAGTCGGTTTAGTTGACTTATAGTCGACTAAATTTAATTTAAGAGCCGAACTTGCATCACTGTATAATCAGTGCAAAAATTAAATTGTAAACATAATATATTGAATCTATTATATTTTTTGAAAAATTTTTGCTACGGTGGTGAGGGGAGCGGGATTTCTCCCCTCGCTGACTACGCGCTCTTTAAAAAAACGTTATATCAGTTAGATCTAAAGTCTATAAAATCTGTCTAGATTTAAAATCGATAAATTATATTTTTATTAAAATTTATTTTGCTGTTTATAACTTTAACATGTCTAGAGTTTAAAAATTATTTAATCCGCCCACTCGTCCGTTTTATAAAATTATTTTACTCTCCCGCATCTTAGATGGCAAGCGTGAGCTTAAAACTCGCTCGTTTCAGCAAAATAATTCAAAAAAGCTTAAAAATAAAGATTCTGACAATTGTCACTTTCTGTACATCTTCATTGAAATTTTAATTTTACACTTTTTATTTTTACTCATTTGCTTCAAAAATGATCAAAAGTTTAAAAATAACGATTATAAACATTGTCATTTTTCTATGGTACATCTTCCCTATTAACATGTTTGAAATATATGTTTTTACCTATTTGCTTCAATAATGATTATGACAATTGTCACTTTTTTATAATTCATCTTCCTTAAAATCGCAATTTAAATGTTTAAGATTTGTTTTTTATTTATTTGCGTCAAAAATATTTAAAAAATAAAGATTACATGACAATTGTTACTTTCTATGGCTCATCTTCAATGAAATCTCAATTTAACATGTTTACAATTATATTTTTACTCCGACAATAAAGTGATGCAACTTTTCTGTGAAATAATAGTTCAAAATTTAATAGGAATCTTAATCTAATATTGAGACGCAGCTTAAATAGTTTGCTAAACTTTTCATACATTAATTCTATAGTTTAAACCAATATGTAATGTTCTTAAGTTAGTGCCACAGCATATATTATTATTTTTCCTTTAATTATTCAGAATTAAAATAAAATAATTTTTACAGAATTCCCAAAAGATGATTTTGCTAAGTAAAAATTTTAATTTTCTCATAGAATTTCTTAAAAAATGTACTATATTGCTCAGAAATATTTACTATTTATTTTATTTAAGCGTATAAGCATGTTTTCTTAAGTTTCCAAATTAATCATTATTCTGTGTCTTAATAATAAGATAATTCTGAGAAAATTTTAAAAAAATCACAGCAAAATCTTCTATAATTTTTAAAAATAATCTGAGAAAATCAGCAAAAATTCTTAGCTTTTACTATTTTTTACCTTGATTGGAAAAATTTCTAAGTATTTCAAAATATTTGTTCAAACTTACTTTCACATTTTAAAAATTTATGTTGGAGGGGGGGAGGTGAATTTATTGGGATAAAAACCTTAACCAAATATCTCCTGCATACTTACAACCATGTGGGAGAAGAACCCAGAAAGATATTGGTTAATTTATTTCTTATCATAAAGGTTACATGCTTACTTAATAGACAATATGTACAAAAGATCCATAAAATATTTCGCATTTATGATTTAAGGTAATTTTGTGAGTAAATTAATATTCAATATGTTGTTTTTCTTTATATAAATGCATTCGCAATATATTTATTGTTTCGCGGTAATGCGCTCGCGATAATGACTTCGCGCAAAAACATTCGCGGTAAAAAATTCGCTGTAAAGAAAAGTTTCGCTAAAATGTATTCGCGGATAAGGTTTCGCAGAAATAAACTCGCGATATTGTCTTCGCTATAAAATTCTTTGGTGGTAAATGACATTCGCGATAAAAGTTTCGGGAAAAAGTGTTTTGAGATAAGTTTCGCTGAATTGACCTGATATGAATAAATTCATCAAACAATCATTTCGCATTTTGAAAAAAATATGAATATACAAATAATAAATGGGAAAATCTAATATTAAGCTCAATAATAAATTTAAATTCAAGGAACTTGAATAAATAATAACCAGTTTTAATATAATTGATTAAATGAATTGTTTATGAATTTAGCTTTAAATACATTTATAGAATAAAATAATATGTAAAATTTTGCTTTTGAAAAGTGTGGATTTTTTTCAAATAACATTGTGCCAAATTTGAAAAAATATGCAATATTATATTGTAGTTACTAGAGATCTGCAAATGTAGGCTGATCCATAGCCCCGACAGGTCGGACCTTGGAATTTTTTTATATATCTAAATTGATCTATTTATGTTGAATTTTTTAAATAAAATAAATATTTGATTTTAATTTTTTTAAAAATATAGGATTAGGGCAGGGGGGCCAGCAAAACTTTTTTAAAAAAATTTTGGGCTGGGCCAGGCTTGAAAAATTAGGCCAATTCAAATCACTAGTAGTTACCATATTAAAATGCTGATTCAGAGTGCATATTTAGTTGAGTGAAAAATTTCTGGAAAAAAAATGCAATTGGTTGATCAGCTTTAGAAGTGAAATTAATAATCAAACATAAATCTGGCCACATCAATTCCAATATATGTTTTGTGATTAAATCAAAATTTTAACAAAAAAATTACAATAAATATTTCTTTCAAAAAAAAAATTGAAGAGGGGATATATTTAGAATATATTTTGAGCCCACATCGTATTTAGCCAATGCTATACTTATAAAACAAAATTATTCATTATTAAACATATTATGTTAGTTAATATGCTGCTATAAGAAAAAATAGGTTATGAGAATTTCAGTTTTATATGATCAATAGTTAATTATCTGAGCATCCAGTATTATATAGAAAACTAAAAATAAACCTTATTTTAATAATCATTTATTTATGCATATAAAAAATAATAAAGTAAATAACCTTATTATTATTGTTTTAGCAAATTATTCAATTATTTATAAATTTAATAATATAATAAAATTATTTGAAATAAAATTTTGATATGATCAATTAAAACTGTTCATACTATGAAATATTTTAAACAAGCTTCTATATAAACCTTATTGATTCATTGCTAAAAAGTAAGCACCATACAAATTTCATTTTATTCCATAGTGAAAGTGATGAAATAGCTCTTTTTAAAGTTATATTAATTGGCCTATCACCCAAAACAAGTTTACATCCTGGTATTTTTAAAGCCTAAAAATATTAAGATTGAAATTATAAGTAAAAAAAACTTCTTTGTATGCAGTTCTAAACTCCCCACCTGGTGCCATTCCTAACTGTTTTGTTATTTGAGCAGATATTGATAATAGTAATATATGTACAACACCTTGCATAGCACCATACTATAAAATAATGCTAAAGAAGTTTATAATTAAATTTAATACCTGCTTTATAGATGTTTTAAGAGTGGATAAATTAATTTCTTTTGCTTGCTTTAGCAAAGTATTTTCATCTAATTGCATGATTAATGATCTACTAGGGCATAATTCAACCAAAACTATATCTGGTTGTGTAATCTGTATGGTCTGTGAAAATAAATTTATCTAATAGCTTAATTTATTGTGTAAATATCACTTTTAAGACATCTTCTTCACTAGCTTTACTAAAATGAGCAGTACCTACTAAATAAACTTCGCTTCCATGATCAGTTTTAAATTTAGTAACTGTTTTCGGCAATACTGGATCAACAGATCTTTTTTTTGATCTTGCTAACCATTGATCGTGATCGAAAGAATATACCGATACCATAAAAGAATATAACTGATTTATGCTTTTTATCACATGGCCTGCGACAGTTTACTGACAGATATCAGATACACTGTATCAGATATAGTAATCCTGAGAAAAAGGTACCCCACTTTATTTCCCTTTTTAAAATTATAATAAATTTTTTGAATACAGAATTTATTAGTCAAAAATTTAAAAAAGTAATAATGTCAATATTCGCCATATCCAAGATTTTTCTAATTGAGAATTTTGAGAGAGGGGGAAGGGTTATATTTGTATTTAGATAACGTGTTTTATCAATATTTTAAACTTTTTTTTTCGTGAAATGGAAGGTTTAGCATTTAACCCAGATTTTACTGGTGATATTTAACATATTTCTCATTACCCATTAACATATTTCTCATTTTTCTAAATTAATTTAATTTCAATTTCTTTATTTAAAATGGAAGGTTTAGCATTTAACCCAGATCTTACTGGTGATATTAAACATATTTCTCATTACCCATTAAAATATTTCTCATTTTTACTAAATTAATTTAATTTCAATTTCTTTATTTAAAATACATTCTTCATATAATATATCACAATATATGTTTCTTGATAATATATTTTTATCAATTTTGTAATAATCCAACAAAAATATCGAATCCAAATTTTTGAGTACAATAATATATATATATATATAAATCTCTTCCAATTTTAACTCTTTTTAATATATTTTTTTTTTTCCATTCAATCAACAAAAAGAAAATCATAAAATAATATAATATATGTTTTTTTTTAAATTAATATCTATTATTTTTCTAAAATACAAATTATTTAATTGATTGACATTTATCAATAATTATTTAAAACTACTATTTTAAATATATGTGAAATATACGTCAATTTTTAATTAATGACTATAATTGACTAGCTAATAATCCGTCAAAAATGACGGGGTTGAGGGGTAATTAATTAGTTTGTGTATATGGTACTAAATATGCTTTATATTAAAATTTAGGAGAAAAAGAGGTAAAATTGTTGCAATATAACCCGTGAGTAATAAGGGTATTAGAAATATCAAAATTTAAATTTGCGATAGGAATCATATTGGGCAAAATTAAAAATAGAGATGCTTCAAAATTTTTGAATTTTAAAAATGGGCTAGACATTGTCTTCAAAATTTTGTTTTGCAGACACAGCTGGCAGAAAATTTGATGGAGGCAAACCCATCTACCCATACCCACCTAAAAAAAATCCTGCGACCTTCGGCCGCGAAATTTACAGACCTACGATGGTATAGTGATTTTATTTAAAAAATCTTATCTGCCACCATTTATAACCTTACAACATAATTCTATTTACAATCTTTCAAGCCTATTTAGGGAAAAAAAATTTAAAAATTTTTAAGTGATAATGAACTTTTATTTAAATAATGCAATCTTTTCATAATTTGGTATTCACTTTATTTTCATAAAATATATATAAGTGAATTAAATGAGATAACATATTAATATTTCTATGAAAAAGATCTAAAATATTGTAAAAAATATAAGACGAATAAATTTAAAGAGGTATATTTAGCTTGATTCCACATAATTAAAAACATGTATTGTAAATAGAGCTATTATATAAAATATTAGAATAAAATGAATTATAGTATATTTTGCATTGAAATTATAAAATTTTAAATTAAATATACATTATTTAAAAGCCTATATATTCGCTGTGAAAAAGATACATTAATTATTTTATTAATAATTTGGATAACCTTATTGATGTTAAAGCAAATTGTGTTATAATATCATCAATTGTAAATTTTTCAAAAACATCAATTTCGCTGGATATTAACAGTAAATTTTCTAAAAATGGGTCCGAAATTTTATTCCGCATTCGAGTTTTGTTAATTTTTACTTTACTCATGGCTCTTTCGGCTGAACAGGAAGTTGTAGGAAGGGTTAATAAATATTTATATAATAAATTTAAATTTGAATAAGAATTAAATTGATTTAAATGTCGGTATGGTAATATAAAAGAAAATTTTATCCATTTTTCTATTTTGGTCATGATTTCGCTGTTGATATTTTCTTTGGTAATTTGATCGTTTGCAATACCTTTAATTATATACAATTACAAATAAAATATCAATAAATTACTTTCATCAATATATAACGCGTCATTCTTTTTAACTTTTAAAAGATCTTCGCAAAAAATGATTGATTGAGACTCCAAATATAAAAAGCGAAAATCATTATATTCATCAACAATGTTTTGGACATCCAATTGATAAGTATTACAAATTTCGGATATTTGCCATCCTTCTATTTTTTCATTATCCATAATTCCAGCGGGAGTAAAAATGGATATCTGTGATAAAAAATTTAAACAATCATAATTAAATCGATCATTTAGGTGATTAATTATTGCATTTAGAACAGGGAAAAATATTTCCGTTCTATATATCTATAATAATAAATAATAATTTAAATTTTTTTAATTTATTCAACTTGTTTTTTTTTGTTCAACATAATTATTGAATTCTGTTTGATCCAATTTGAATATTGATTTCATATTATACAAATCAGTTATTACATTATTCTTTTTCAAAAAACTATTAGATAAGGAATGTAATTTTAAAAATATATTGTTTCCATTAGCTATATTTTAAAATTATTTATAGAAATAGTAACTAATATTAACCTTTTAGTTTTTGTAATTTATTTTTTGTATGTTGTATTAATTTGGTTACCAAAGCCAAATCATTACCAACTGCCTGCATTTCAATACAAGCCTCATGTGTACATTTCAATATTTCTTTCAAAATAAATAGACTTAATATAAAATTTTCATCTTTAATTCTTGATAATAACCCATCGGCAATGGAAGAGGTGCTTGGGTCATTAGAATCTTTTAATTCAACTAATGATGCTAAAATATGTTCATAAACATCTAAAAAGATTTCTACAGATTTGTAGGATCAGCGTCTACATGGCCGGGGGGGGGGGTGTAGGAGACAAATGCCTCCAAAATATATTAGCATTTTTGGGGGTAGGTATCGATTTGAAGGGGTTGATATTAATTTTTTGGGAGTAGGCATTATTTTTTTGGGGGTAGGTATTGATTTTTGGTGGGTAATTTTTGATTTGAATTATAATCTTTATTAATCCATTAATTGATACGATTATTATGGTTATCGTTTGATTTTCTGAAAAATGTCAATTAAAGTAAAGATATTTGTCAATTAATAAATAATATAAATTTTCTTTGTCAACGATTTTCATTTAGCATTTTATCAAGTTAATATTTACACATTTCCTATTTGGTACTTTTCTTAGAGGTTAATATATTTATATTATGTTTTTTAATAAATTTATAGATTTTAGCAGGATAAATTTTAGGTAATTTTTTGAGTCATGCATAAAAACATATATCAGCAAGCAAAGAATAATAAAAAACATAATATGTAAAAAATTATATTATAATAATTATTTCTTTCTAGATGCCAAGTAACAAAACCATATTTAAAGTTAAGTGCAATATTAAAAATCAAAACTTCTAAAATAAGAAGTGACAAGATACATGAACATTATAAACATAAACATCCTCATGTCAAGCCAGGATATGAAATTTACAAAGGTAGCCATCAAAAGAGATAATAATAATTGGGTATCTTTAAATTGTGATATTCCATAATTGTGATATTCCATATAATATCACAAATGGAGTTGAAACCCAGTTGCAAAAAAAGACAATAACATCTTACTTCCAAAAAGTAATATTTTTTATTTATTATTGTAACTATAAATTTGTGAATTAATAGAAACTGATTTAAAATTTTACCAGAATAATATTAATATTAAAGTAGTCAGGGTATAGAGAAAATAAATTATATATATTATTATTTAATGTTTTTTAACTGTTTATCACACTATTTTTATATCTATATATACTTTATAAAGTTCAATTTAACAATATGTTTAATAAGTTAATAATAATAATTTAAAACCAAAGTATTAAAAAAACTTATTAAGTTAATATAATGTAGTAAAATAAGGTAATGTTAATTTCTAGGAATTTTTAAATTTAAATCTTTTCATCTTTAATTGAATTAAGACTTCAAATTCTTTTACTTTTTTTAAATATAAATCTTATAAAATATGATTTGGATTCAACTATTTTCAAAATGTTATCTGTGTGAATTTCATCCCCTTTATTTACATTATGTGTTATATTAGGTATGTTTATTATCATTGTTTTATTTAGCTATTAGAATTTCTTATATACTTTCATCATGAATTTCACAATTTTATTTATACTTAATATTGTTTTTATTTTTACAGTCATTATAATATTGTTTTATGATTTCTTCATGTGATCGCAGTTTTATATTAATCTGCATCTATCATGCCTATGAATCTTTCAAGTATATTTTAAAAATGTTTTTACATGATCTAACAAAGTCATATTGATGTTTATGATTATTGCGTTCAAAATATGTGAATTCCCTTTGTATTCTACATTCACTTGTGCTTTACCTATTACTTGTATCATCTTTCCATTGTAACCTGATAACTTTATGTTGGACTTCATAATATTTTTAATACCTGTTTTCTCAATCATGTATTCATGTAGAATTAAAACATTTATTAAAAACTTAATTATAATGTAGTTAAAAAAAATTATCATTTGCCTAAAAATTTATTAAAAATATAGTTATCATAAGGAAAGAAATTAAACTCCTCTTTATTTATAGAAAATCTCAGTTATTGAAGATTCACAAATTGTATTATCTCCTCATCCAATCCCCAGTTCCAGTGAGGTGTTTACTTTGTATGATGAGGTATTTAATTTAAATACGAATTATATGATAACTTTTGAAAGAAATAAATTATGATTATGAGGTTAATTAAATATTTCCAACCTTTATTAAAAACTTAATTATAATGTAGTTAAGAATAAAATGACCATTTGACTAAAATTTTATTAAAAATATAGTTTTTCATAAGTAAACAAATTATACTCTTTATAGCAAATCTCTAATATTAAAATT